TTTTAACCTCAAGTAATTTACAACTTAAGTACCAGCTGTTTGCTGCTCCTACAAGCAGTTCAAATTTGTAGAAACTAAGCTCTTGTACATCTGGTTTGGCTGTTAAATGCTATAGTTCGGCCGCTTAGAAAACGACCTGCGCGCTAATGCTAAACTAATGCTGCAGGAGGTCGTTTTCTAAGCGGCCGAACCATAGTATGATTATTTCTTACCTACAGATGTAATTTTTCAACTAGCTAATGAAGTCAATTAATTTTATTTTCATAGACAGATTATTGGTGATATTTAAAATTCTAATGTTATAAATGTAAAAAAAAAACAATGACTTAGGAGTATGTAAAGCCAGAAGGAACGATTACACAACTATGTTACTTAAGAAAAGAGTTTCAAGCTATGGTGTACACAAAAGGTTTACAAATTACATCCGATAGGGAAACACACACAAATCCAAATTACAAGCTTTTTTAGGGAAAGAGCTTCTTGAAGTAGTTGAGAAGTTAAAAAAAAAACTTGTTTCCCAAAGGTGCCTAAGACTTTTCTTAGGTGAGCTAGCTCCTTCTTCCATAATGCAATGTCATCAAAGTCATTTTAATTTGATAAATGTATGACCTCTTTGTTCAGAAGTTAAAAATTGCAAAGAATGTTTTTTTTAGACAAGTGGCTATGAATTCTAACAATTTCCAATTCTGTTTCAGGTCAACGCTGTTCTCAACAATTCCAAAGTTTGGGCTTCGTACAGTCAACAAAACCATGACCTTTTCATTACCAACACTCCCACGCAAAATTACCTGACAGGTAAACCTAATTATGATTAATCTTGTTGTCTCTTTTATGCTTCAGTAGCATTTTGAAACTTTCTGCCACTCAAGGAAAGTAGAGCCCTAGTAATTATAGTACAATTTGCCAACAACAGTAGAGTCTTGATTATTCGTTAAAATAGCCGAGGCATCTGTCAAGTGTAAGGATGGACGGGATTTAATTTTCAGTTCAGGTCAGGATGGATTTTAAATATATAACCTATATATATATTGTGATGCGGAAAAATTGCTGTCGATTTGAACAAATCCCGTCCCTGAAAACCCTCAATCAATGTATTAGTATCTCAAGGATGAAGAACATATTTTTCCCAATAGTTTCTGGACATATCTGTCCCTAGTTAATTGGAACATATTGAACTCAAATATTTTTTCAGGAGCCAACATAACAAATTAAAAAATAAACAAGTAAAACACTACCAAAGCAGTAAAATATACGAATCCTAATGGTCCTCTTACCCATCATCTTGGAGCTCTGTTCATAAGACTAAGAAATGAGAGATAGCAGAGAAATATTAATGTATGATTATCTGACAGTGTGGTATTTTGAATCTATGGTGATATGCAGTCTGCGAAACAAAGGGAAAGTACAGTCAAGTGCAGGAGTATAAAGCCTAGCTTGTATCTCCCACGTACAGTCAGGGCAGAGAAGGGATTTTCGTAACGCAACTACTATAGTGCACAGTAATATCACACCAAATTGTACTGTTGTTTATTTATATTTTGGAAGGTTGACCATCTAAAGATCAGACAATCTAGACTCTACTGTATTCAAAACACTTTTCAAATTTTCTTCACTATTTTGAGTTAGAACTTTGAATCGTTTCGAGAAATTGAAGTTAAGCCTTCAACCATTTAAAAACCTTTTATTCAATTTTATAGTTATTTCTACTAATTAGGAAGTAAATTTTAATAATTCACAGCTAATTATTTCAGACAAGAATATCACAAAATAATAGCCAGAGAGAAACCAGGTTAGAAACTGATGATTCAATGAGAAAAGTCACTGTTATTGTAAGCAACTTTTAAATTTTTGGTTTTCTTTTTGCGTGGGGATGCTTGTTAAGGGATTGCATTTGCGTTTGATTGTTTTTATTCTCACAACTCGTTTGGATAATTTGGGAATATTAACATTTATGTGAAAGGTAGCTAAACAGGGAAAGTCTCTAGATGATAAGAAGACTGGTTCTAAAATTTAAGAAGTTACTTTATAAATTTGATGGATGTAAAAAAAAAACTGTACTTTTTGCTATAACTAATTCACTGCAAAGATTAAATCACGTTCCTCTTGTTCTTCTTCAAATCCCATGTAGGCCTAGGTGTTGTAATCTTATTCATAATTAAAACGTTCATGTGAATTTAACCTACATAGTTCGCTGCTGTCAAATACAGTAGACCTTTGATTATTCTGGATAATGTTGTTTACTTTAAACACTTCTTCAATATGTTTTATACACTTTTTATCAGTTTATGTATTTTTATTGTATAAAATAGAGTGTTTTTTATTGAAATATAAAGTTTTGTAATCGTGTGGGAACTGCCTTGTTTTGAGGGGCAAACGTTAGGAAAAGTCAATTTTCACACTTTGAGATAAAAAAGAACAATAATTCCAAAAGTTTAGATAATTTGATTCTGCACTAATGACTCCAAGCTTCGGTTCAGCTTATACAGACCAAAATATAAAGGCTTAGTTGAATTTCACCAGAAATAGCTTCCTCCGCCCCCCCCCCCCCTAAACCCCCTTAAAATTTTTGTGTTTACTCAAGGGAGGTACAGAAGAGCCTTCGATGACGTCAGCTGTCAGATCTCCTCTAGAGGGAACACCATTACCGCAACGATACGGAATTCAGTCATCGGCCTCGGTAGTGTAGTGGATAGCATGTCGGGCTGATAATCCGGGTGCCGGGTTCGAATCCCGCTGCCAACACTAACTTTTTGTCAACATTTTTTTCATATTAGCAAGTTTGGTTGGTTTGGTTACGTTATGACAGTTTAATTTCACAATTAAAAATTATTTTAGTCATTTATAATTTTATTTTATGAACAAAACTATTTTTAGACTAGTAAACCTTCATTTGATTTTTTCATTATCAGCACGTTTGGTTAGGTTATTACAATTTAATTTAATAATTAAAAAATTTTAAGATTAATTTTATAATTTTTCATAATTTTATAATTAACTAGGCCTAACTTAATAGTGAATTAAAAATTATGCGCTGTGCTCTCTACTACAACGCTGTTAACGGGGGAATTTTGAACTAAACTATGATGTCATCGTTGCCTCATTTGTACCTCCCTTAAGTCAGACCCTAAAATTTTGTATTTTGTATAACCACGTCTTATTGCACATCTACGCCATACAGGGACCACCTATGGCAAGTTTGATAGTTCTAGGTCGTATGTTTTGTGAGATATACCTAGTGATCATCTGTCAGTTACCTATAGAGATAAGATAAAATGTATTTCAATGAATTATGAGCTAAATTTTTGTGTTAAAAACTTTAACAAAATCTTAAGCCTGCTCTGGATAATCAAGGTTCTACTGTAGGCTATCGTACTGTTTTCGTTTTCACCGTGTTTGTTATGATGCTAAACTAAATCATATTTGGCTCCCGCCAACGATTGTTATGTCAGAGTATTTTACTTTAAAATTATGTAAATCGCCTTCACACAATGAATACAACTAGGGATAATTAAATGACACATGATATCAGTTTAGTCTTAAATTATTTTTAAAATTCTAAAATCCAGATATAGTATAATTTTTGAATTTAAGATAGTTTATGCTCTCACATTTCTAGTTGCTTTATTCATGCTTTGTAATGGAGTGGGGATTCAAGAGCTACTAATGTGTGGTAAATATATATGTTTAGCAACAATAACCGACCGGCCAGAAACATTAAGCATTCATATTCACTGCCACATATTTGACAGAAACACAATTAAACTCTTATTTAGTTTGATTATGTATTTAAGTTCTTCAATTAGTTCGATGGTTAACAACTTCATCCGGTAAATTAAACAAATATACCATGTGCTAATACTCTAACCTGCAGTAGGTTGTGATTCGTTAGTTTTTTTTTATTTCCCATACTCACCCTCGTATATGCCACATGGGTGCCGATGACTGCTGGATACTTGACACAGGGTAGTTCCCAGCCACTACCCACCTCCCCCCCTCCCCTCGACCCTGACAACAGCTGAGGGACGAGTCACCAATGTGATATGTTTTGTTACTCATATACCCACTCACTGTTGTATATGCCACAGGGGTGCCGATGACTGCTGGATACTTGACACAGGGTAGTTCCCAGCCTCTACCCACCTCTCCCCCTCCCCTCGACCCTGACAACAGCTGAGGGACGAGTCACCAATGTGATATGTTTTGTTACTGATATACCCACTCACTGTTGTATATGCCACAGGGGTGCCGATGACTGCTGGATACTTGACACAGGGTAGTTCCCAGCCTCTACCCACCTCTCCCCCTCCCCTCGACCCTGACAACAGCTGAGGGACGAGTCACCAATGTGATATGTTTTGTTACTCATATACCCACTTCAAGCCTGTGATCACCATGTAAAGTCACCTAGGTTAAGTCTAGTTTTGATGTCGCTTAGTATATAATTTTGCTTTATATTATTATTTATCCTCTTAAGAAGAGTCGATAATCGTGTGTGACTAGTCACACAGATAGTTAAATATTAGGTTACAAAAATGTTTACTGTTCAAAAGCAGTGGGACATATTGTATGTGGTTTTTCTCTGTTGATAATCTCTATGGCTCATTTATTACTCAAATTCCTCGTTTTTTCAGTGCTATTATTTTCTTTTGTTTCACTAATATTCCATATATAATATTAAATGGGGTTTATTTTGGCATATTTTATATTTTGGCCTGATAATTAGTTTACTAAATAACCATAAACTTACTATAATTTCTACTTTTTGGATCATATTTTGTTGTTTTATATATGATTATCTATATTCTGTTTTGTTACATTTTATTATATCGTTATATTTTGAACATTATATATTTCTATGTAAATAATGTATTTAAACAACTGAATAAAATTAGGTAGGCCTAAACGTTATTTTTATGAAGTCAGTAATTTTTAATATTAGAAATTAAAAATGTTTAATGCAGAACTGTTTATACAGTTTGTAATTATTTTTTTATCGTCAATAAATATTATTTCTACTAATGTATTAACTTAGGTCTTACCTAGATTACAAATTGTTTAGTAGTTGCTCAAAACAGTTTTATTGCCATTTATGTCGCCTTTTTCAGTCTTTCTATTAAATGTGAGCAATAACTAGTTCTCTGTGTGGTAAGTGTTTGCAAAATTTATAATTTCAATGTTCTCTAACTTTGGATGGTTTTGCAATCGCTAAATATCGAACATTATTTTCCCCACCAAACTTAGGAAAGCTTTATTTTATTATGAAAAGCATATCTGATTGTATATAACAAATTATTTATTGTCAAACTTATGTACATAGTATCGAGTGCCTCTTCAGCTGTGTTTATTGTTATGTTTTATATTCTTTATAGTATTGAGAAAAGACAGTTTACTAAGGTCGAGCCCACCTTGCATTGACTGACTAGGTAGCCAGTGGGTGTTGCATTTATGATTGTAACTGTACATAACAAGGTATGTGTATAATAAATAATTTATAGTAAATGATTTGATAATTTTGGTGCCTTAAAATGTTCATCCTAGTTTCCGCTTGCGTTGCATCTGAATGTCGACCTCGGCTTCTACACAGAAAATCAGCTGTTTCCGTTGGTAGCCGTTGGATGAGATTTTCCAGTAGCCTGTCTGCAGTGGCAGCCGCTCCATGTTTTTGAGTGAAAACGGAGCGTCAGTCATGTTATAAGTACCCTAGGGACAGTTTGGAGTATTTTTAATAAGAAATAAGATATGAAAATTTTGAAAGTATCAAAATATTGATAAGTGTTTTAAAAATTGAAACTTCTGCCTTTTAAGAGGACTTTTCTAAAAGAAAGTCAATTTTCCTGGAGTGTGCTCTGATGTTTCATGTGTAAGGCAAAGCCGAACACAGGAACACATAATTTCACGAGCAAGAGGAAGCCCAGCCTGTAAGAGTGAGTTTCACATATGGGATGCCGAGGACGGGAATAATTGTAGCAAGCGCCAGAAAATCTACACAAGTATTATGAATGATACTTTTCATCACGGCAAAAAAATATGTAGCCTACAGAATAACATATCTAAATAAATTTAAGGTTAAAAGAAGTTTTTAATACAAATAAAGCAAATGGGTTATAAAACTCTTTCCTGACAAAAGTAAAATAACAAGTTCAAGGTTATGTTTATTTTGCAGTAAACACGCACTATGATAAAAATAGCAAAACTAGCTTATGTATATTCCTGTTTACATTTATATTGTAAAATACTAGTAAACAGCTGATTTAAATTGTAAAAAAATAATGGAAAATGAACATTAGTGCGCGTGTATAGTGGGGAAATGGCAAACTGATTGAGAGCAAGGGAAAGTAAATTTATAGCAAGGATAAATCAGCAGATTCTTTCCCCATGCTCTGAATTAGAACTTTGGTAAACAAATTATTTTCTACGAGTGTCGTAAGACGAACTACGGGAGTTGCTTACTTTAGTCTACGATAATTTGTTAATTATGTTTGTAAAACTTTATTACCTATTCCTTTCTGTTACTTTTTTCAGGAAATAGTACTGCTGGCAGCATTCTTACCATTAGTACTGTTTCAGGTACAAGAAGACGAATATTATATATTTCTTTGGAATACTAAATGTTATAACTCGTATATCAACTAAAAACTACGAAGAAAATTTCGCATCCCATAGTGCTTGATATTTAAACTAATAACTTAGGTGTTTAAAAAAATATTTTGAAATGGTAAATAACTCTTAAGCGGCTGTTTTAAATTAACAAAATTTACATTGCTCTTATGGCGGGCAAATCCAAGATGACAGTTAGCATCCATGGACTCCCTTGGAAAAGAATTAAAAACTATAAAGTTTTAACCCAACAGTGTCCTAGATAGGTTATTTAAATCATAATCACTTTGGTTAAACATTTTTGGATGATAAATAACTCTTTAGCAGCGGTTTGAAATCATCCAAGATAGCCACTAGCCTCCAAGGACTCTTAAATCAAAACTAGAACGCCTCTTCCTAAAAGTATCTATTCAATAATTCTGAGTGCCCACAGATCAGCAAGCTTAACATGTTTTAAACATTTTACTAATTCGCATTATTAAATAACTCATTGTTGCCATATCTATTTTTCATACATTCACTCACACATAAGTTTCGGATTGTGTCTTTTTGGAGCAACAGGGAAAATAAATTTAGACAGTATTTTGAAAGAACAAAAAAGAGCCATAAAAATCATTCTTAAACTAAATTATGATCAATCAGCAAAAGAGGAACACTTTGTTAATCTTAAAATTCCCACAGTTTATGGACAATACATCTATGACTGCATACTAATTTCTAAAAATGAGGCAGTAAGTTCTAAATCTTCCATATGCCACAAGTACAATACAAGGCATAAAAATGAAATTATCCCAAATCATCACAGATTAAAATTTTACGAGAAAAAACCAACATATTCGGGAAAGAAATTCTTTATGCATTTACCAAAAAATATAAAGTCTGAAAAGAATATTGAAAAATTTAAGAAGAAACTCAAAGAGTACATAGTAAACAAACCAATATATTCATTGGATGAGTTTTTCCACCTTTGTTCACAAAAGAAATAAAAAGTATATTTCAGGACAAATTGTGTTAAAATAGTTAAGGTTCAAACACTGATGTATTTTTAATATAATTTTTTGACACTATTTATATGTACCTATGTGCATGAAATAAATAAAGAATATTTGATTTGATTTGATTACCACGGCGACTGGACATTTGTCGGACAATCCCTGGATGTGCTCCACAAACTCGGTCCACATCTTGTTCTTATCGTGCAGCTGTTTACAGTCGAGTATCACTCTGTGTCGAGAGTTGAATTCACATGTGTCTTCTCCTTTTATCTGGCATTTGGTCAACTCCAGTATCATCTGTGAAGGAATAAATATTCATTCTGAGAACATTCTGCTGCATGTAATTACTGACAAAAATTTATGGTAATGTCATGACGGACCGCAAGGGATAGCAGAAGTTCAATAACTGGGAATTTGGGGATTGTTGATTTGTTTGCACATTGACGATACGTAAAAAAAGGGGTTTATCAATCCTTAACTACTGCAGTTTTTTTAATGTAAGATATACACTCTTTTCTTGTGTTTACTCCGACTCCACTGTTGCTATAGTGTATAGTCATAAAAAATGGAATTTGGAAATAGCCTGCAACTTTTACAGGCTCAATCATCTGCGGGGAGGATTTGATAATCGAGACTTGCATTACATCTGTCTTACAAACACCTTTAACAGTTCATACTCACATCAATTTTGCCACCAACAGGTCGCTTCAATGTAAACTGTGCGTTCACGTTCATCACCGTTTTTTGATAGTTCAGAAGCGCATTGTTCAGAACGATGGAGGTGTTTACTCCCGGACATTGAAACAGCTTTTCAACATGAACTTCCTTTGTTCCCTGCAATTACAAATCGAAATTTGTGAAATTCTGATGAAAACCGCTAGATTTTTCATCTATAATCGACATAGCTGCCTTTCTTGCTGTTCAGACCCTGAATTGTTATAATTGTACTTTCAAAACAAGCTACTGAGAATACCTCTTCATAGTAAAGGCAATCGACTATAAATTGTCAACAGCGTAGACAATGAAAACCACCATGGCTTTTTATGACACTGACCACAAATCCTACATATGAATATTTACCAACCCAATGCTCAAGGACCAGCTGGGCTCAGTTTCAAACCATCAAAAAGTCTTTTCTCAGGATGGGACTGGCAACCTGTTCGTTAGGTGAGCACTGTATCCTCAACGATAGCCAGGTATAAGTTAAGTTTTTAAACTTTAGAAAGCAGTCAAAACCACTCAGCACTAAAACCACTCAGCACTAAAACCACTCGGCTACTAAGTCAGTTCATTCAAAAATAAAATAGTTTGTTTGCAGATACTTTGGTACATGAAAAATGTTTAAGGATTTTTGACTTGGATGTTAATGTTCAAAGTGACTATTTAAATTACATTTACCTGACAATATATAGTGTTAATGGTTGAAAAAATACTCTCATTCTTAAATTTAAGTATAAATCTTAGAGGTTGCAGGAACTCCATAATGCAAAGATTAGGTAAAAAATACCTAATTTATTTTAAGCTTGGATAAACATCATCAGTAAATTGAAAAAGTAGGAAAATGTTTTCAATCTTATCAGCTCATAAAAAATGTGCCTAAATGTTGTTAGTCTCTTTTTAATTTGGGAACAAATCATACATTTTGTGATCGTACTTCAGACACTACTTACAATTAAAATAAGAGCTGCCAAATTTAGGTTTATAATGCTGCAAAAAACCACTATGAAAATCATGATTGCTCAAAATAGAACAGTTAGATACTGCTATTTATTAAAGAGTCCTTCCTCCAAAATGGCATTGGGCGCATGGAAACATGTAAAGATAAAAGATAACTATCGGTATGTAGATAATATCTGTTTGAATTCATTAGACAGGTTTTGCTTGTTATTCAAAATAAACAATGAGAGATCCCTATCACTTTGACCTGTGCGTAATATATTGTAAAACAAAGTATAAAAATGTTACTGGTGATGTTCGCTGGACTGTTTTCTGTTATACCACCTAGTGATGTTCTACTTTTCCTTATTTCACAATAATAAACACATTTGAAGAGCCAAATTGAAAAGATATAGCCTATTGTAATTTATATTGAAACATTTAGTTATAAAAACACTTAGTACACAAACCATCCTCAAATTAATCAATCTATCACAAATATCAGTACAAATTGCACAGCATGAGTTACTGGTTTTTAGCGAATTTTCCTTGTAAGTAAATAAAGCTATAATATTACCAACAGAGGTATCATGGTAAGACCTGGGCCCAGCCCAGGATCGATTTACTTTTTTGTTTTGGTGTCCACAGAGGCCAAATCACCATCTGTTCAAGTGTATATGTAAATTTACTTTCCAGACCAGCACGTGTTATTTTTATAAGGTCACCAAATTTTAAATAATGTTTGTGATGCCGAAAATTCTAAATTCTTGGCCCTGAAATTTAATACTTTCCATCACCGCTTTAAACCTTTGCCACAATCCTCGATGTGGAATTTGAAAAATTATTAGTACTTTTATCGAAGCGGTGTTTTACGTTGAGCTTTTTTTTATAAAAGAAGAGGACTCAGAGGCGCAATTGTCCCTCCATTAAAATTATCCCTCCAGCTCCTAGCACATATCACATGGAAACCGCAAGCCTGGTTTTACGCCTTAATGGTTATAGAGAAAATTCCAAAACAAGGTAAAAATTTCCATTGTCCTTTTGGAGAAAAAAAAAACTTTTGTAGTCTCTGATTGATTACCAATATATTTTTATAAATGTTGGCAAATTTATTATTTATGGCCTAATTCAAAGCTTGTAACATTTATAAAAAATACCCCGCCCAGAAAACCTGCCGACTATGCAGATTTCTATTGTCTGAATTGATTTTCAATTAAATTTATAAATAACAATAGGTTTAACGAGTACCTAGGTTTGCTGCTACAAGAGAAATAATAAAGTGTTTTATAAGAAAAATAGTAATAGCTTAGTACATAGACCAATAGAATTAGAATAAAATATAGACTGTCAAAGGAAGGTTCCGGCGCCCACCGCTAGGAGTGCCGTGTAGTTACGGCGCACACCGCTGCAGGCGAGGAGGGCAGGAGCCGTATGCAACCAGCAGACGCTGCAGCGGTGTGCGCCGTATTCTTTTGGAGGATATTTAAAACAAATAATTTAGTTTTAGTATATATTGAAGCGTTGTTATGCGCCTAATAGTTATAAGGAGAAAATTACAAAATGTTAATTTAAAATTTATAAGTTATTCTTATGGAGAATAAGTTAACTGTTGTAGTTTGCTTGTTTATGGATAAAAATATTTTCGATCAAACTTTTTTTTTTTTTATTTGTTCACTTTACAATCTGTTCTATATATATCGAACAATAAGTAAATAGTATGTAATACGAAAAATTGACTTTGGAACATTAAAAATAGCTGTTAAGCACTCTCAACAACAAATTTTTCAATAAAAACACTTTACAAAAATCTGAAGGGCAGGTCCAGAATTGATGGCCTCTTAAGTCTGTAAATTGTATCCATGTTGTTTAATAAGTTAAGAGCTAAATGATTTTGATGAGATTTCAATTTCGTAATATATCGTTCACTTATGGTCATGATTTCGTCCTTAACTGTAGGCATCTTAAGGTCTTGATGCAGTGTTCTATTGCTGACATACCATGGTGCATTTGTTATCTTCCTCAGCATTGTCGATTGGTATCTTTGGAGAATTTCTATATTAGAAGTACTCTCCATAACATGACGATCAATCTTATGCCATATCTATACAAATAGAATAAACAGACCGTATCAGCTGGGCTGCGGCACAGAAAACGCACTACCGTACTAGTAGTACGTTTTCTGTGGCTGCGGTTAGCATCTGGCGTCCACCGCTAGGTTTACCGTGTAGTTAGGCCGGTTTTATGCACCGCGACAGTCGCGTGTCGCGGGTCGCGGCGCGACTCAAGTTCTATTGAGTTAAATGAGAGCATTTATGCACCGCGACAGCGACAAACTGCCGCGCGAGCGACTCGGAGATATATTTAAATACCCGCGACAGGTTTTAGAATCGCAGCTTCAAAAAATGTGTCGCGCGCGGTTCAAGTTCTATTGGATCAAATGGGCACGTTTATGCACCGCGACAGTCGCGGCGCGACAGTAGTATTTTTCATACTCCAAGTGGTATATTCCCCATATATTTATATTGATTAATGTTAATAATTAGTATATAAATGAGTTCTTTACCCTTTATTTGTAATATAAATTACATCATTATATTATGTAATGACATTTTTAAGAGGGTTGACCCAATTCCAACTGTAAATTGTATGTGTTGTTTAAATAACTGGGGTTTTGTCATTAACGTGTACAACACTGCAGGGTCTATATTTAAACAACTTAATAATCACTTCTACATCACAAACACACCACACAACATTGGATTGAGAACAGACTGATTTCTTTAATTCCCCCACCACCGGATGTGAGTTTACGCGACAAAAAAGTGTCGCTGTCGCGTGACATTTTGGTCACCCGCAAGACGTGGCGCGACTTGCGTTTATGCACCGCGACAGTCGCGGTGCATAAAACCAGCCTTACGGGGGTCATCCGTTAATCACTAGAAAAAGTAATAACACCTTACTATTCAAAAGTAAGCTATTGTAACATGGTGGAAGGAAAAAAACATAGGTGTGCTATTCCCACATATTCTGACGTCACTCGGATTGCAAACAAAAGATCACCTGGGGCCCATTTCATAATAAAGTACAAACTAATATTATAGTAAATCAGCTGATCGCCCAATGCAAATCTAATGGAAATTACAAGTTACAAGTTGTAACTTGTAACTTGTAGTTTATTATGAAATGGGCCCCACTGATTGTAACTGTCAAATTTGATTGTAACTGTCAAATTAGTATATGTATTTGTTTTGATTTGGTTTTTATGGGGGGTTTGTCGGGTGAAAATTGCTTTTTCTTAGGGTATTGACCCTCTAAATAAAAAAATAGCAATCATTTATATCTAAACCATTAGCGAGTTGTTACGTTGTTATCTATGGTACTTGAAACTGGATGAGATATTCTTATAGAGATATTTTAGTAGAAATCTAATCAGGCAAACGTAAATTCGTTTAAACTACAGGTTCACTGCAGCGGGGATATTCTTTATGTAAAATAAGTGAGTGTAAATTAATTTTCCTCATATTATAGTTCTTTGTTTCCCGTCCACTTTATTTCAATAGTTTCCATCGATGCAATCCATTAAAATAATCATTCTCTACATCCTTAATGAACAGAACTACGAAGCTGTATGTTTAAAAAGATCTGTCTGGAAAACTTTTTTCAATACACCGGATGAATGCCAAATTTTAGGTTATGTTCGTTGTCAATAAGCATAATTATTGTTTTGTTTTGTTATGGAATTATGAACATGCATGATTATGCATTTACTTAGATTGAATTTTTGAACTAAAAACCATTAACATATTTTTTGAAGCCTTCAGTGATTTTATTCTTACAGGCTAGTAATCACCACTGATATCAAGTAAGTTTTCTTTTCGCAATTGCAATCCTTTCCGAAATCGTTAGGTTATAAGTTACAGGTTAATAAGGTTGGATATTTCTCATATAACTTAACTTTTATGTCAATAACTAACAACTATTCTGGGCCAACGGCTTTTACTTTTCGTATAGGCTTATTCATATAAGTTCATCCACATTAAGTTAATAATTACACTAAGATGCACATCCATACATTGTTGAGTCTAATGTTGAAAGTTTGGCCCAATAAGTTAAGTTATTTCTTTATAAGCCTAGCCTAAGTGCAGACCCCTTTTTAAAAGCCTGTCCCCCTTATTAGTTACTAATCATACCTTGCACTTGCCAATCAACACTAGGTTTCACATTAGACTAACATACCCCATAGTTATCCGACCCCATCATTTTTATTGTGAATTAGGCTATATCAAATTTTAAACTAGGCAGGCCTAGGGGCCTAACGTTATTTTCAATCTGTCAAATTTTTAACCTTATCAATGACTAAGTTAATTTAGCGTAGTTAGTGTGAAATAGGCTGCCTCAAGTTTAACTTAATTCCAGCAATACGCTATTGCCAAATGTAATATTAAAGGATAACATAGCCTGTTTAACACGTAGAGTGCGGCCGTTCCCGAACGAAGAGCCCCCGTACGGTGCGTCCGTACCCCATCGGGAACGCTCGGTAATGCCTTTTGTATATCTTCGTTTTTGCTCTAGCGTCGGCCGAAAGCGGACCTATACCACGTTAGCGTGTAGTATGTGACTTGCATTTTGTTGTGTAGGTTGGTAGTAAATTTCCCCGTAAAATCCCCGTCTGGCAATCTCAAAAGTTTTCTTTTTGTCCCGTCTTTTTCCCTCCATTTGGCAATACAATTCCAATGGGACCGGCTACGTTCCAAGCAGTGCTGCTATCTGTGGGTGTTTAGCGAACTACGTCGACTCTCGTTGTAAAGCAGGACATCCCCTCACGTTTGCTATTCGTCAGACCGAAATTGGAAAGCCAATCACACGCGGCAATCGGGTTTACTCGACGCTGAGGGCTGCGCCGCACTGGGGATACGCCCGCTATTTGACGTGCCGCAGCGAACGTGTTAAGTAAGATAGCCCAGACCTCCATTTCATCTGTACCTAGTAAGTTAATTAAGCGGTCTACAGTAAGCTATAGGCTATTAACATAATAAATTTAACACCTTTTCTAAAATAGAATCTCTGTGGGTGAGTTAGGCCGATATCAATTGCACCATTTGTTCTTAACTTAAGTTACATAAACTTAGCCTACATTAAGTTTAGGCTTCGGTATAACTAACTTAAGTTAAGTTAGGTATTTAATAGAAAATTTTGACACAGCCTAACTCCAACTTAGTTAACTTACTGAGTCTCATATTTTGTTTCTAGAATGGATGACCAGGTCTGTCCAAGATGCAAAACGACCAAATATCGCAATCCTTCTCTGAAACTGATGGTAAACTCGTGCGGCCATGCTCTATGTGAAAGTTGTGTGGATCTCCTGTTCTTGAAAGGTAAGTAATCACCCTACGACGGTTATAAATTATCTGAATAGCCCTTAAGTTAGCCTACTATCCATGTTATAGTATTTTTTATCATTACCTACTACCTACAAGGGACGTTTTTAAGCTAGAACCATTTTTGGGTAGCTCCGTAGATCAAGTGTACGCCACAACAAGGCGGCTTGCCACTTACTGGCATCATTGGTAAAACTATGGCGCCATTTGAAGCTCTGTAGCTGTACGCTTCGCTGTGTGTTTAGAATATTTTATAAACTAAGGAATCCACTGCCTCATCATACGAGATAAGTCAGTGACATTTCCTGACCACAAGAACCTTAAGTTATCCATTAAGTTAATTTTTGGATGACTGAATGTTATGGACCCTAATACAATGAGTGAAGGTGTAGTGCAGAATTGGGTTTGTGTAAAAATGGACATGTAAACCTTTTTTCTTTGTAATCTTCTGTCAGAAGTCTGGCTTCTCACCACAAAACACAATTCCTTCTAAATGGACATTTTTGTGGACACTTAAACTCCCTTAAGTTTATCTATTTCTGCATTCACCTTCTGTTATTGCATTAGGACCCTAATCTTCAGTCAAAACATATCACTGAGATTATCTTGCTAGTAGTGGGAGATTAAATAAATAAAACAATTTTTTAGACACACAGCAAAGAGTAGACCTACTTATTAGCAAATGGCACTGCTCTGTTCACAAATGATGCCAGTGAACAGTGAAGGTACACACGGACTAAGATAGATATATAAGTTACTCACAAACGACCCTTACCTAAAAAAATGACTCATGTAATTAAACTTAGGTAGTACAGGGAATGTGCTGAATAAAAACTTCTTTAGGCCTACTGGTAATTCCAAAACCACTTGGGTTAATGAAAATCTCTTAGCCTTATAAACCACCCTAAAGTTCATATTTAAAGAGACAAGGGGAGTACCGGTATAAATGGACGATATAAATATATCGATATTAGGAACTAAGTATATACCAAACTTGAAACATAGGTAGGTATGTGAATAAAACATGTGTTAAACCTATAGGCCTAGATGAATATTTATAAAATAAACAATTGTTATTTTGTTTCCAAAATGTCGTTCAACTTTTGGAAATTATATGAAATTAGCTTAAAAGATGATCTTAGTTTGTGTGAAATACCTACAAGAACTGGAATTGATTCCCAAACCAAACTGATACCGTACCGGCAATTGAAAAAAAAACTGAAAGGGATAATTAAAGGACCTAATCAAGTTAGTGCAATACCATTGTTTAATAAAAGGGTAAGGATGAAGAACATTGCAAATGTATAAACGCTCTTAAAAATATGTTTTTTGAGAAATCCATAACATTAATGTATTTTTTGCTAGGAATGTAACAAATTACATTTGTTTTGAATGAATGAATCATAAAATTACATTTTTTAATGATTGAGTAGCTTTGGATGATTGTTATGCGTAGAGTTGAACGATCGCCGATTGGTTGAGCTTTTGTCAAGAGGTTTGCATGTTGAAGATAAATTCCAGAATGAAGAGAAGCTAGGGGGTCCAGGTGTCCTAGTAGAAATTAACAATTGTACAATTTGAAAAAGGAAGTACAATAAAATACCCCCGCCACAGCAAACCTGCCGACTAAGCGAATTTCCATTTGTCTTAATTGATTTTCAATTAAATATATTTTAATAACATTAGGTTTAACCAGTACCTAGGTTTGCTGCTACAAGGAAACTAATAAAGTGTGTTTTTTTGTAAAATATTAATAGTTTAGTACAAAATAAATAAATTTGATCAAAATACAAAATATATCCATAAACAAGCAAACTACAACATTTGACAATATTCTCCATAAGAATAACATGGGAATTTTAAATTTACAATTTTTTTAATTTTCTCCGTTACTATTAACCGAACAAAAATACTTTTATATACTAAATTAATTGTTTTTTTAAGCTCTTTAAAAAGGTCTAAAGAGAAATTGGGAAATTTTGGGTTTTGAGGGCCAAAAGTGAGAAAAACCAATTTTTACCCCATAAAACCCCCGTAAAGCCCCGTTCCCATGGTCCGATCATGCTGGTTCGCGAACTCAAGTTTATCCCGCTTTACACCTTTAAACCAAATTTCATCAAAATCGGACAAAAATTACTCAAGTTATCACGTTCACGGACGTATATATGTATATATATAGCCTATACATATATAAAAATTTGAACGAATGGTGTTTTTGGCCTCTGGGAACATCAATATGAAAAAGTAAATCGGTCCCGGGTCTAGGTCTTACCGTGCCACCTACGGTAATAGCTACTTCCCTATAGGGAAATTCGCTAAAAAGGAAAGTACAGTAAGGAAACTAACCTTGGGAGATTAGTTGAGGGCACCTGGAATCTCGGCATGATCGAGATCAATACCAGAAGGTAAAGTGTGCGGAGGAAAATACCGAATTGAACTATGTCCAGACAATAAAAAGGGATGCCGCATCACTTATTCCCTTGATAATGAAGCATGTACTTGCAGAAACGATTATTTTAACAGATCTATGGGAGTCCTACTTTGGTCTGACTGATAAAGGTTCCATACACTTTAACGTCAATCATAGTAAGAATTTCTTAGATCTGTTAACCGGCGCTAACACCCAAACGATAGAGAATTTATGGCAGTCGGTCAAACGATCGCAAAAGACGGGCATCCGGTTTGACTATTTGGCAGAGCACCTGTATGAATATCTTCATAGAAGAGTAGGTTAAAATGGGTAAACACGATGCTTTCATGCATTTTGTTAGTGCAACAAAGGCTTTGTATCCAGAAACATGAATGTAAATAAATTTAAGTTTTTTTTGGTTAGTGATTACAATAGAAAATATCGAAATATCAAAACCCTTAAGGCGATTGATATATTGATATATAAGTTTTTTTTTTCATTCGGTTATTTGAGATACCGCTTATGAAAGTCTACCCCTTTATTTTAAACTAGCTGTTGTACCCGTACGGGAAGAGGACTCAAAATAGAAACATTTTAATCTTTACATCTGTTACATATAACAGTTACACATCCCCCAACGCTTTTAGAAACAAAATTCAACTTTTATGGCCAGAAACGTTTAAGTTATGACTTTTAAATCTGGTAAGTAGTGGATACCACCATTTCATCTCCCTTAATAACATATCTTTTTATTTATTATTGACATTTTAAATTTCAATTTTGAAGTTACTACTAATTTTTAAATTTAAATGAACATTTTTTTAAATTTCACTCTTCTTTATATTAAATCACAAATCCTTCCATCTTCAGTTTCTTCACTCACAATAAATCATTAGCAAAACTAAGTCAGCTGTTATAAACTTTAGAAATATTGCTATGCCTTTTTAATACAGCCTTTTGAAATATTAAAGAAACTATATCTATAGGTACTATAAAAAATTTTAAACAAATAATTTAGCATTAAAGACAGCAGACAAAACTAATATGATTATCAAAGCGTCAAGGACTAAACAATTTAACAGCAAATACAGTATATGTTTCATTGCATCTCCGATTCTACTCTACAAAAATATCAACAAACAACTTAATATACAAACCAGTTCTTTTAATCAGTTCCATCGTCCATTGGCTTTACATTTTCACACTTACCATAAAGTAAACATAGTAACAGATATTTCATTGATTTTAGAAACAAAAGAACACTGTGTACTGCTTAGTTTTATGATATATTCCTTGGTTTAATTTAATCAGTGGTGTAGCAAAACAAAATAATAAATCTAGCCTATCAAATAAAGTAAATGTGAACTGAAAGCTATGTTAAAATAAAATAAGAGTATTTTGTATTACCATTTGATAATTAAATATAGTTACACATATACAACAGATTTTATAACACAAAAATCAACGTCATACAATTTAGTAATTGATGATGATGATATTCTTTAGTTTAATTTAAGCATAGGTTTAGCAAAACATAATAACTTAATTTACCTAAATATACGTATAAAAAACAATGTGATGTGCAAGTTATGTTAAGTTAATCTAACACATGTTAAGGAGTTAGAATTTATTCAAAGTAGCCTCCAAATTCATATAAAACATCTATACATTGTAATTTTCATACTGTTTCCATGAAATCATATTAATAACATTATTTTCATAACTTAGACGCTTTAAAAAAATCCAAAGCAGAGCCGGAGTTGATACATCAACGGTTATAGAATCTTTTTTTATATAATCAATAATCATTTACATAGTTTTAGAATAAATAATCCATGATAAAAGGTTAAATTAAAATAAACCTACCTCATAGTTATGGAAAATATTATATTTAATTTCTTTGTATCAGCTGTCTGAAATTGTGAAATATGCAGTTTAGCAGTTGGTTCTTGTTTACATTTAAATGTCAAAGCAAATGTAAACAAACATTGTTAGTGTTCTCATCACAGCCATGGAGACCAATCAATATTTACTTTTAAAATCTTCACCTCACAACTTTTAAAGCCAAAGGGGCAAAGCCTACGGTTAGTATCGAAACATGAATAGTCCTATAATGGTCCTTGGTATGGTAACTATATTTTTGTAAAATTTTAGCACAGTTTGTTCAGTAGTTTTTGCACCTATTAGTAACACACATACAGACAGACACCATTAGATTTTTATATAATAGTATAGATTGAAATGTACTGCAACCTTGTACTGCAACCTTTTACCTCAACAGATGGTTTGGATAAGCATGGTGGTATACATTACACTACTATTTTATACCTTTTGGTCACCAAAATATTCAATGTCCTAACCGAATCACTGTGAATTGCTTGAATAAGGGTGCCTATCTTGATCAAATTCGGCTAATATCTTTGTTTCATAGTAATTAGTAATATTTCAAAATTTTTTCAAAATCCCATTTGCTTGATATTTTAGTGTAGCAGCTACCCTCACTGTTTGAGGAGAGTATTCAGATAAGTGGGTATAAGTTAGAATTTCATTTTAATTTTGGACCTCTTTAATTAAAATAATACCCCCG